AACATTTCCCCCTCTGCCCTGTGTTGCTTTGCACGTGGACACATGATGAAAACAACTACAAACCGAACTAGAACATGCTCCTAAAGCCACCATCTTCTGTGCTTTCTGGGGATGGAATCAACAGCATTTAAACAGAAAAGCAGTTTCTCCACAGCCAGGCTTGGTGCAGCTCCACTGCTGTGGTGCATGGAGGGCCCCAAACTGCCTTCCTGGTGTAGCAGAGGTTCCCTGGCACAGGGGGATCCCCAGTTGCCACTGAGCTGACAGAGCTGGCTTTGTGCCACCTCCTCCATCTGCAGGGGCTGGGCAGGGTGAGTAGGATGCTCAAAACGTGCCAGCACCTGAGACAGAGTCCCAAGGGCTGTCAGGGACCAAAGCTGGCAAAACGAGCTCAGTCCCCGACTGACACTCAGGGCTGACACAGTGGCTTTGCTCTGTGGATCCCCAGGAGAGTGGGGATTCCCTGAAGGTTCAGCCTGCCCCAGCCTCGTCCCTAACAGCTGCTGGCCTAAGGAGAAAAGAGCTGGTCAGAAAAGAAAACTTCTTGCTGAACATGAAGGACAGAAGGGATTTGAATTTCATGACACCCTGGGGACAGACTTTTACAGGGATTTTCTTGTTCTTGAATGAAAGAACACAAAAAAGAAAATGTAGGGATCTGACACACTCTGAGTGGTCTTGGATGAGACCCATGGTCAGGGCAGTGGTTCCTGTGTGGGGAGCAAAACTGCACAAATTAACCCACTGCTGGCAGTGAGGGTGATTGAAAGCACTGGGTGATTTAGAAGCATCAAATTGCACACAGGGGCCCAAAATCACAGAGTACTGAGGGTTGAAAGGGACCTCTGGAGATCATCTAGTCCAACCCCCACTGCGGATCCATTTTCTAAAGAAATATCTGATATGTCTGAAATTTTCTGTGAAATACCTGAGCTCACTATTAAAACATCTCAGCTGATCATCAGCCTGATAAACCACCACAAGCATCTGCCTTGCTCTTCTCCTCCCCAAGAAGGATTACTGCTGCACCAAAAATAATTTAGAGCTGCTGTATCAAGCAGACAGTTCTGAGTGTCAGATGTGGTTAGACAGTTACTGTTTGAATAATGACAATCATTTTTCTTTGTAAAGTAAAAAGCAGGACAGCTGAACCGAAAAGAACTAAATCTAAGGTAGGCAAGTTGGTAACACTCAAGACATGCTGCATGTCCATTATCTGTATGTGGAATTGAGCCTTGTATCTCTGAGTTGCAGATGGGGAACTGGCACATGGCAGCTGAGCAGCTTCCCCAGGGCTACAGAGGAATCCTCTGTCTCTGCAGCATGAGCATGGACAGTCCAGGGCATGACCAGTGCAAATAACTACATTTTTAGCTGGGTTTGTGCTTTAAATAGTTCATCTGATTGCTCTGAAGGTCATGGGAGAACTAAGTTCTATTTGTCAACATATTTCTGTGGTTGTTTGGGTAACTTTTACCATTGTGGGTGGTTTTGGTTATGAATAATATTAAAATGAGGCCTCGGCTGAAATGTGCTGATCACTCTCTCATCCTATGGCTTTCACTTGCATTTGAAGCTAATCACTGCTTGTCAGCACTAACCTGGACACCTAATGCATCCTGAAGGGTCTCCTAAACATGGCCTATCTTCACTCCCAAAGTCAATCTCTGAGGCAGAGGTGTGTAACAAAGGTTTCCCTGACGATTTTTCATGAATATTCCCTTCCTCTGGAGATTCTTTACACTATTTGACATCAAAATTTACAAATAAATATATATTTACTTTTTACAGAGAAATGTGGAGGTATATGGAGGACTATGTGTATGTATATATATATATATATATATGTATGTGTGGCAATGTTGAACTTGCATCAGTCCCCAATGGGTGCATGTTCAAATCCAGCCTCTACGACTTGATGGCTGGAGCCTTCCTTCCAGTAACAACTTGTTTTGTAATTCTGTCTAGGAGGGGAAAGGCAGGAAGTTGCAAGAGGGCTGCATGGGCTGGGTTAGATATCTCTTGCTCTGAGGCAGCACCAGCAGGAGGAGAAGAAGGGAGAGTGTCTCCTTCCAAGAAAGCACGTGGCAGGTCTCTACACCCACAGTACCATCAGAAATGAGTACTGATGTCATTGTCATTAAGGCAGCCAGTATGGATGGCACCAGCTGAGCAGCTCTGCACAAAGAGGTCCTTGCACATGGCAAAACCCACCTGAGAAGACAGGTAAATACTTGCCATCACCTGCCTTGAGGACCACAATGTTTTGGCTGTGCTGCTGGGGCTATTCAACCTCGAGAGCCTACAGCTCCTGCAGAGGTGGAAACAGTTCTTATCTTTATAAGGCAGGATGTAGACAGGTTAAGTGTGCTGAGTGCCCAGTATTACGTGCCCTGTGGAGCAGTGAAAGCTCTGAGCACAACCAAACCACGGTCTCAGGAAGAAGGACAAATGAAGAAAATAATGACAGGTCCTGCCAGCAGTGGCAGGAGGAAGTTGAAAGAGGTAAAGAGAAACAGTAATTGTGTCATGTTGTGTCATGTGTGTCATGGTCACTTCCAGGAGAGCTCAGAGGCTGGCACAGCATGCCCACGCTGAGAGGCACCAGCTTCAGGAATGAGGAACTGACAGTGGAGCATGTCCCACAACACTTAAAAAGGTTGTGGCAAAGCTCAGAATAGAAACAAAGCCCAGAACACCAAGGCTGTGGGTTAACCATGAAGACAGCGGACAAGAGTTGATGAGAGGAGGTCACAACAGCAAAGGGATGAAAGCTGGACTCTCAGCAGAAATATGGAGAAAGAAGAATAAAGAAGAGGGAGGGGGAAGATGGGGGAAGGGAAGAGGAGTGAAGGGAAGCGAGAGACACCGAGACACTGATTGCCCAAGAGCCTGTGCAGCAGCAGCAGCACCACAGCTGCTCATGCCAAGCCTGGTTGAGTAACCTTCATCTCAGTATCCATCCGTGAAAACCCCAGCAAGACCTAACAGCTCACTTTATCTCAGAAGAGCTGTCTGGATAAAAGGGATTTGAGGGTAAAGCCTCCATAATCCTTTGGGTTTGCTTTCTTTTAATACTATAAAGCACAAACCCAAACTTTCTAGTCAGGAAAAACATAGCTTTTGTTATATTCTGAGTCACTTTTCCTCAGCAGCAAACAAAGTGGCTTTTCAATTCAAGTCCTGAACATTTCAGAATAAAATGCTTTGCAAAGTCCTAAAGTAAATCCCAATTCTCCAAGTCACACTTCCAGCTGATGTGAACTCACTGAGGTCAGTAAAGAGATGCCATGAGACCAATCTCCCCTGACCTGACTTGGGTGGCATAATTGATAAACTGATCTCTTGAAATCAATTCAAGATGTTCCAGTCAGCCAAGCAGAAGCCTGGAATTTCACTACTAACTTGCTGCTGTTCTGCCTAATGTCTCCTCTTAGCACAGAGGTTGAGTACATCCCTTGTGAGCTGTGCTGCAGTCAGATGTCACTGGCCCAATTCATAACCCAGTGAAATTAATTTTGCAGTCCATTTGGGGAGTTCTTTTAAGGGGAAAAGACTTTGGCTTGACTCTGAAGTTTGCTAGCTTTCACTTCAGAATTCTTTATTTTTTATTTATTTTACAAGGTTTGTACCAAGTATTTTTAGAAATGTGGAACAATCTCTCAACTTCTCATATTAAAAGTGCCTTAAACAACAGTGTTCAGTTTTCCTGTTAAAAATTCTATCTTGCTTTGTTACATGCCCAATTCCCTGAATAGGAGGTGGATCTCCTAAATGAAATTCACTCTTAAAATACAATTCAACACTCTTCAGACAAGGGGACCAGTAAAAACACTGCAGATTTTACTGTGGTGGCACCAAAGCTATACCAAGCACATTTCAAACAAAGACAAAGAGAAAACCAGAGAAAACCATCCAAACTCTACTCTGCCCAGCAATGAAGACTGTACATGACAGAGCCACAGAGCACACTCAGTACCTAAACTGCAGAAAGTAAAACCTTCATGGGCACAATTTCACAACTCCAGGTGAGTAACTGCAGTAAAAATCCCAAACTTCTGTGTGCTTACAGCACATCATGGTGCACATCTACAAGATCAAGCCATGCCTGATCTGATTGCCCAGACTGGGAGGGCAGCAGCAGTTACCATCTGTGACCACCAGGTATGTACTTCCTACATAAGAACATCCAGTATTTGCAGCAATATATCCAGCAACCTCACTCTGCTCCCACTAAAATCCATGTTGGGTTTATGACTACAGTGTCCAGCCTCACTATTAATTTTGCATTGATTTCCTTCTGCAAGGAACATGCTTTAATAAAAGAGCCAATCAACCAGATCACCAATAGCTGCCTACCTAACAATAAGCAGGGTATGTTCAAAGAAAGCTTTACTCCAACTTATATTCATTCCTAAGGGCTAAATCAGCTGGCTCACAACAAAGAAACAGCGTTGTTTTGCTTATCAATGTCCCACTGTTCATCTAGAACATCTGCAATAGTTTTGCCTGCAGCACTATCCCATTCATTACAGGCCTTGATAGACTGCTCAATGGGCTTTTTTTTTTTTTGGTACAAAATGTACAAGGGCATTTTACAAAGTGGACTTTGCACTGATATGAATAATTATAAAAAATTAATTTAAAAGTGCATTTCATTTCAGAGTCACCATTTTCCAAACCAACTTTTGGCAAATGGAAACAAAATGGCAACAGCTAAACCTGACAGCTCAGCCCATGGCACGAAGCAGAGGGATTCTGCAGATCACTTGTTTCTTTGCTTGGCTGCCAAAGTGCATCACCATCTACCAAAAATGCAGTTAATGAAAGACCCAATATAATAGAATGTAAATGCAGGATTCAAATATGCCATGAGTAAACAGCAAATATCCACACCCACCAAAAGCAGGCCACGCTGAGGAACAGGTGGGATTCAGAAGCTCTAAACTTGCCCCCTCCCTCCAGCAAACCAACTCATAAGAGAGAAGTGAGGCACTTACCATCATCCAGGTAGGCCTGGTCCAGGTTCTGTTCCTGTTTGATGGTGACTCCCGCTGGTAGCACCTCTTTCTGGTCACTCCCTGGTGGTCCATTTTTTGCTGCTCGCTGGCCCGAGGCTGCCTGCTGCTGAATCACCGTCGGGTACGAGCTCGGGCTTAACCTTTGTGCTTGACTGACCTGGGGCTGGCTGGATCTTGCGACATTGGATGTAAAATTTTCACAGCACATGATGTGCTGAAACTCTTGGTGGCTTCCACACCTCAGCTGCTGGTTGGTTGGAGAATAGTGAATCACAGGAGATGACTGCTGGTTGCCTGGAGAGTGGTGGAGCACCGCCGGAGTTTGGCCTGGGGAACCTGCGTGCACCAGCACCGACCTGTGGGCATCTGAAATGGCAACTGGTGCAGCCATCAGGTTGGACTGCTGGTAGCCCAGCTGGCTGGGGCTCAGGCTCTTGCTCCTTTGGTAGATCACAGCGGCCGGGTTCTGCTGGTGGTATCGAGAATCAGGAGAGGAAAGGCCTGAGCGCAACTGCTGGCAAGGGGCCATAGTGGGCACAAGGCAGGAAGGGGACTCGGTGACCATTGTGTGCTGTGAATAGTAAGGCTGTGTTACTGTTCCCAGACCACTGTGTACTGTATTGCAGATTATGGCTGGATCATAGTCATCAATGGGCTCTGTTTTGATTGATGGTACTAGAATAAAGCATGCAAAGGACATTATTCGTAACGAGCTGGTGAGAAACAGAGAGGTTTTTCCTTGAAGTAATTAGAGATTAAAGCCATTTACAAGATTTGCATGTGTGAACTCGTATCTCGCAGGCACCGAGTTTAATGCATCACGTATATGCAATCATGGCAGAGTCTCTCTTGAAAACACTCTGTACTAAGAGGTTCTTGAAAATCTTTAAAGTACTAATTAACCACAAATTTCTAAAATTGGAAAATTCAATACTTCAGCTCATATTTTCATTCACTTAAGGGCCATTCTGGAACACGTGCAAAATAAGAAGCCGTACATAGGTGTTTCATGTAGTCCTTCCATCTCAAAGGAGGACTGAATAAATAGAAATCCTGTGACATATGCAACTCCTCATTTTTCTGTCAAACTTTTAGCTAGACACCAAAGGCAGAGTTGAACTATTTTAGAGCTGTTGTTTTAGCTCCTTTGCTTCATGTGGTTTCCTCAGTGCTGAGAACTGAAGATCTTTCTGACATCATCATCTAAAAGCTCAGGATTTAGCGAGAGTTGTGTGAATCTTGGTAGGATAAATGATGGTCCTCTACAGGCAAATTCTCACATTTCTAATGATTTTTTTGTCGAATCTTCCCCAAAACTCACTACAGAAACACCATACAATGGAAACCATATAACGGTCATGCCAAAGGATTGTTTTTTGGAAGTGTAAGGATTCCTTCCCCTAAGTGGTCTATTTTAAGGATTGTATTGAGATAGAAGTGTACTTCTCAATACTATTCCAAAGCAGAACAGTTTAGCAACTACACAAAACCTTCACACTGGTGATTGGTTCATAAATTCAGGGAGAGGACCAGAGATTTTCAGGCTGGAGGAGACCAAAATAAGAATCACAATGAATGTTTGCCTGTCCTTAGAGACAAGTCAAATTAAGATATCATTTGAAGCTTGCATAAAATCTGGTACTGTTATTTTATGCTTTCTGGTTTCCACAAACACAATACTCTGATTTTCTCACAATATTTTTCTCTCAGCCAAAGCTGAGAAATTCTGGGAATCTCATTAGTAATCTATTACATTTATTGTGACATGGTTGACCAATTCCCAAGAGGAAGAACATCAGAAAAGCATTCATATTTTTCTCCACCAGCCTTGTCCTGAAGAATATATATTGCTTGCCTTCCTCCATACCAAGGCCTTGTTTCCCAGATCTGATGTTATCTTACTGCTGGACACGTCAGCTGGGAAGGCAACACTCGTGGTTTTCATAGGGGTCACACCATGCCACAGACCGAGTCTGTTCCCACTGAGGCTTTGGCAAACTTCCCTCAAGTGAATGGGGCAACATCAGCCCATTGCCAAGATAACTGTCACCTCAAATTCATGGCAATTCCTGATCATAAATCACACGCATCCTTCAAACCAAACAGCTGTTGAGCACTTAGCTGAATTAAATCAGTGACATTTAGATCCTCAAATAACAGCAAGAAAACAACACAGCAGAAAATCAAATCTTGCTCATGAGAGCTAGGCAACAACTGGCTTGAGAATTACCTGGTTGGTAGGTAAAATGCTGGGGTTGGCTTCTTTTTCTTTTCCCATTGATGACATAGAAGTTCACCTTCACGGCTGTGCGGATGTGCTTGTTACGGTACTCAGGTATTTCTACAAAAAGCATGCTCTGAAACAACAGAGGGTGACAACAAAGAATTACTAACTGAGGCTGACTGGAGATGTCTGTGTGCATCTCCCCTTGCTACACGTCCAGGCACAAAGGAAGAGAAATCTTCCCCTTCATCACTGTAAAGGGTATGAGAATAAGAAAGGAAAAAAGGGCAGATGGTGCAAGATAAAGATTTTTGGTACTGGCAAGCTGGTTTCTATGTACTGAATCCTCTCTTGCACTTGATGTTGTCCTGAACTTGGAAAGAGAAGCCTCAGCTACAAATAAAACACACAAAATGGTGATAAAAGCAGCAGCACTGTTAATCACACCAGGCTTGACAAACAAGTGTGCACTACAGAATTCCCTCTTTTTGTCAGAATGAACTTAATCATTCTATAGGCTTTTCACTTACACATATCCGGATCCCACTTCCACGGAAATTAGGAGCAAGTCTCCCATTCCCTTCTGCCGGGGCAGGCATGGCCCTTGGCAGTGTCAGTGCAGCTCCTAAATGCACTGACTGACTACAGGAAGGTCCCATTAAGCAAAGTGAACAAAGAGGCTCATTCCCTTGAAAGATCAGTGTTCATTCGAAACACTGTAGGACAAATCCTGTCCTGCAAAGAGCACAGCACCCAAGGCTTCCACGCAGGCAAAGGAAGCCAGGACAGCCAGCATCCTGCAGAGGGCTGGGCTGGTACAATAGAGTCTTCTGCAAGAACACAAAATCCAGCAGTTATTCAATTTGCTGTGGGTTGCCGCTAAATGAATCGCCTCTTTTTGCAACACATCTACTGCTGGAGCATTTGACATTTGTTCATCCCAGCAGCAAGATTGCTGCTCTTTCTGCTTTTGAGACGCTCTTTCAAAACTACCCCTCGAATACAACTTGCTCTCTGAGAAGCTCGAGGAGAGGACATCCAGTGCTTTGCATACTTACAGGCTGGCTCTTATCTTTGTCCACTGTTGCCTCCATTTCCCAGATCTGCTGCCCATCTAGAAGAATATCACAATGTTAACCTCACTGTAATTTTTTCTTTTAAAATCATAGAACTTGACTTAAAAAAAAGGATACAAATTAAGGGCATCAACTTAGCAAAGCTCTCAAAATGGACTTAATCCCAAGCACCTTCCCAGCCCTAACCAAAAGCAACAGCATTTAATTTAAACACATCATCAAACACTTCTCTTGCCAGGAAAAAGCCTAGGTACATATTAAAATTAAATGTTTATGTAGAAATTAGCCAAACTGAGGAATGAAATATTTAGCACAGGTGCAACATCTGTTTTTTACCAGACTTGAGTTCAGCCATCCTGACTGATGGAGGGCATCAGAAGGTCAGATAACTTGTTAATGGTCACTTTCTGCCATTTTAAGCCAAGACCACATGGTTTCCCATGGAATGCCAGCGACAGTCCTAAAAAGCACCAAATATTCACTGTGCTCAGGGTAAAAGCACTTCATTGCATGTGTGACAGCCTCTGCCTCTGAACCACTGGAACTCTTTCTGCTCTTAATCACATCCATGCAGCTCTTCTCCATTCTGAGCTCCACAAAACCGTATTTACAGAAGAAAATAAAATTTGATCCCCTTGTATTGAACCCCACCAAAGTAACCCCTGTGCTGCAAGAGTACATCAGTAGTAGCAGGACATTCATACATAAAGGTGTATGAATGGGTGCTTCATCTGGTTACAAATATTCCTTAAATCTACTGTCTCCCCAGAAACATGTTTTAGCAATGCTTTCCTTCTTGCTTTATTTTTTTTAGATTTTAATCTTTACCCCTTTGATTTTTATATTCCGTTGAGCCTTTTAGGCAAGCAATTTGCAGAAGAAAAATACTGATGGGGGGAAAAAGAAAATAAAAATTGCCTCATACCTTTCTGAAAGTTTGATTTTAGAATGACCAGGGGACACGTCTCCAAAGGCCCCGACGTGACTGGGAATACTGCAGCCTGAGGCTGTGTTTGCTTTAGGGGGGAGGCAACTCCAGGCATGTTTCTTTGGGGGTTCCCCAGGCTGCCTGCCCAGGCTGGGCAGGATAAGGGTGGAAGTCTCCTGAAAACAGTCCTTCTCACAGGACTTTTTATTTTTCCCAATTCTTGGAAGTTCTGCAAGAGCTGCTTTTGTCCTCTGTTATTTAAGTACTTCTGCTTCTGGCGAAAAGGGAAATGAAAGAGTATTTTTAAATGCATTTTGCATTTTTTCTGTTGTTTTCCCCTTTGTTCTGTGCTGGGCCCAGACAATGAGCTGACAGATGTGCCGGGCTCTCCAGGCGGCCTCAACCCAAGATGGGCTCAGCTGCTGCTCCATGGCCAGGACACAGCTCTTGGGGGACCCTGCCTGCTCCAGCTCTGTGTCCTCTCAGCCTGGGGGTCCTTCCCAGCGTTCCAGAACCTCACCTGTCCCACCACCCCACACCTGAGACACCTCTGCTGTGTTCTGGTCCCTGAGCACACACTGGGGATAGACGGGTTTTCCTTGAGGGCATCACCCACAGCGTGTCCCTTCCTCCCTCGGGATGGGCACCGGGATTGTGGTGGGGCAGGAGTGGGCACCCAGTGCTGATTGGGCCTCCTCATCCCAATCCTTCCCACTGGGGAAGTGGAGGCAACTAAGGAATAGCTGGAAGTTTGCTTTCATCCATCAGTTGCCTGTGAGGAGGAGAGGGGGAGAGAGATCCCAGGCTTCCAGCTCCTCACCCAGCTACTGCCAGAGCATCCTGCTGCAGGAGGAGACACTAAGAAACTTGGACTTTTTTCTTTTTTTAAAGTGTTTCAAGTTCTCCCCCAGTGAGTCAGTTGTGTTTTCTACACTAATATGTGGATGAGTGGCCCTGGAGCTGGGATGGCCTAAGCTGTGTCACTGGAGCCAGTGAGGCTCTCACCCCACATCCCAAGGGACTTCTGTGCAAAGGGATGGAAAATACTCCACTATTTAATGTAATTTAACATAAGCATTCACTTTGGTCACTGCTCTGGGCTGTTGCACATTCAGTCTATACCCCTATTAATGCATCTTACTGCTGTTGAGGCAGCAAACATGTCAGGGAAGGGAGAAGCCAAAATACCGAGGGTTTAATCCAGCAAATACTTGTCCAGATGACAAAGCAGTAAATACCCAGTGGGGGGATTCCTCTTCTAGGTGACCTTTGCGAAAAGAAACCACCACAGTGTGTGTTAAGGAACCTCCCCAGGCTCCAGGAAAAGAAACCCAAAGTATAAGTTTTTATAGTCCTCTGAGGAAAAGAGGAGGGAAAAGGAAACACATATGTCATAAAATATGAGCTCTGATAGAGACACACATCAGAACTGCCTCAGCAAAGCAATATGAAGATGTCCTGACAAGAAGGACAGCCAAGAAGGAATATTTTACACTGGTTTTGCTCCAGGCAGAATGTTTTCATCTTTGTTTCTGTACTGCTAAATTCAAACAGTCTGTGCAGATACAACAGTACCAACTTCACAAAGAAGGTAGAAATCAAAAGGATTTGTTGGTCCAAAATGCATAAACTAAAGTAGAAAGGGGGCTCCAAGTCATCTACCATATTCCAGAGGCCTGTGAAGCACATGCAACCACAACACAGTGGATTTGATTTAGTAACTGAGCCACTAAATTGCACTAAAAGCTAATGAAGCCAACCATACAAATCAAATGATGTTTAGCCTGAGTCCAAAGCCCGTGAGGATCAAGAGTAAGAATGAGAATAAGTCTAACCAAACAAGAAATAAATGTATTTGGGGCTATCATTCTAACAATGATAGATGCTTCTGTTTGGATATATATTCATACTGGTGGCAGCTAAACAGGTTTCTAACAAATCTGTCAGCAGCAGCAATCCCTGTTCTTTGAGCACTGAAGCCCTGTTGAATTTAACCACTCTGCAGTTCACTCCCTGACCTTTATGCTTAAATATGATGATGTGGCTCCATCTGTCTCACTGCTTCACTTTAGCTCGAGACAATCAATATTTGCTTTTCCTTTAACCACTCTGGATACACACATTATGGTGAGCTTTTGGCAGAAGGATGAGGGAGGCTGTGAATAAAATGAAAAATACAACTGCATTCAGAAATCTCTCCCTACTTTAACCCATTCTTTTTGCTGGTAATGAAAAGAAAACTTTTGATTATGCACACTCAGGGAATTAATAGAGAGTAGGAGGAATAAACTGAGAAGGCTAAGGATCACCTGAGAAAATTTTGAACAGAGAAAACTTGCACCAAACTGTCAACAGATCATCTTCAGAATGAGCAGAAATCAGAATACTCTTAGGAGGAAATTAAAGTGGATGTTTGAAGAAAGTTATCTGCAAAAACGAGATTCTTATTGTAAAAGTCATAATGCTGATGTGATGGCAGAGCACAGCCCCCAGTTCAAAACATGTGTCACAACTTGGGTGAACTGTGGTGGGCTCTTCTCTCCAGTGCCAGTGTCACAACTCAGGTGGTGCCTCAGCACCACAGACGAATTCAGCTTTGAGCAGGAGGTTGTGCTCAACGACCTCCCGAGGTCCCTTCTGGCCTCAATTACCCTGTAATTCTGTCATGCCACAAACGGGACAAATGACTGGTTCCCTCCTGCTTGGAAACCGAGAAGATTAAACCCCAGCCTGACTAATAATTTAATCTAAAGTCTACAAGTACAGATAGCTCTCTACTGCTATAATTAGACCTGCTTCAACAATGGACAGGGAAGAAAAACGGCAAAAGAGCAACAGCACCATTTCTGCTGAAACACTGTAAGAGCACAAGCACAGAAATACAGAGAGGGTGTGCTCAGCAAGCCACAATCAGTGCTGGGCTGCCCCAGCAGCAGCCAGGGCACTGCAGGGATGTCCTGGGACATGCTTGGATCACACAGGAATTTGGTGTCATGTCCACGTGTGTGGCGTCTTTCAAATTCTGACTCCACTATGGAGAATTCAATCTGCGCCTCTGGAAAGAGCAGTAGTTCCATTAAAGACGATAAAATATTTCTGGATGTAGACTCTGAGGTCTTACCAGCCATGTCTGCCTCATGCAGTATTTTTACTGTTGTGGTTCCCTGCTCATTTAATGGTTTGTCTTAGTTGGCAAGTCTTTAACACCACAGGTCAGTGAAATGTTCAGGAAATAGAGATTTTTGTGCTGCTTCAGGGCTATGAGACTTAGCATTAAACCCTGATGAGAGATCTGATTGTGTCAGCACTCTTTGGAGGAATGAATGAGTTGTTGGAAGAAAGTAATTCTACCCTTTCTAACTCAAACTGTGATCATACCAAAAGTCTTGCTTCAAACTGGGGAAAATCAAAATGTCAGCCTGCATTAGGAACATTTTGGGTGATTCTCTGCAGCCCCTTATAGGCCCTTTTTTAATTAGCCAATTAAAGGTTTTCTGAACCAGTTACAGCCTTTACACATTATTCACGACCCCTTACTCATGACTTTGGGGTCAGTAACTCGCAGAGAAACAAACTTACTGCTTTATTTGAACAAGCATGACTGATGGACTGAGAGGTTCAGGAAATTTTCTCTGCAGTTCTTTCCAGCTGAAGACTAAATATACTATTGTGCTGATTCTGTATGGGATTCTATGCCTGCATATGATTTTATGCCTGAAAACGTACATTGATTTTCAGTCAAGCATTACACAAATTACTTAATGAACAACCTGTTGCCTTTCTCCCAGGCAGCAAACCATGCTAGTTCCCCAAGGAAACTGAGCCTGGTAACTGCTGGGACAGCTGCTGCAACTACACATTCCTGCAGAGTTCCCTATTCACTGTGTTTCTTGGAAGGTCTTCCAAAAAAGCACAACAATTATCTCTGTCAGCTTTTATCAGTAGATGACAGACATCTCTGGAAAACAGACAAGATTTTTCAGAGCCACCCCAAGAACAAAAGAAAGAGCAATGAATGCTTTCCAGCAGAAAAGACACCACTCTGGGATGTGGAAACCTTAAGGGCACGGAACACTCACTCAACCTCTCTGCTGCCCTTTTCAGGGACAA